ACAATTCACTTAGCAGACGCTTTTATCCAAAGCGATGTACATCAGAGAGTAAGCCACCGAAGGAGCTTGAGCAATGCGGGGTTAAGTGTCTTGCCCAAGGACACATCGACATGTTGTTCAGCTGGGGATCGAACCCTCTGGTTGAGAGGCGACGACTCTACCAACTGAGCCACAGCCGTCCCCATTTCACTAGAAGTAACAAATACATTTCTTCTACACATAGGTATGATTTCATGTGACCCTGTTTTATAAAAATATTACATTGCGGTAATAATAATACATTTTGAAGCGATATTTAGTATTTTCCAGAGAGTTACTGTAACATCTTTTACATCAACAAATTCATTGTAATTTGTAGATTTTTATGATATCAATGTTGTTGCGCTGGCATAAATCAAAGCTCACTAATCTTGTCTTATACAACAATTTATTGCAGTGTTAGAAGAATTAAAGTTAACTCAGAACTGAGAAGAAATATTACAGCCTAATTTTAATGTCATGGCTACAAGTGTGTCAGAAACTTATACCAAAAGGCAAAGAAATTTACTTATTCTAAACTAGTTAAATGTTATTTTATGTTAATCATTAATGCCAGTATAATTTTTGAGACAAGAACCTCACCAATAAAATCACTTTTAGAAAGTAAAAGCCTAGTAAAAGCTAAGAACATGAATTATAGCAAGTTCAAAAGTAAAACAATAATGTTGAAATGCTGTAAATGCCTGAAAGGTGCAGCAGGCCATGCATAGCAGCAGGTCGTTCCCACCAACATTCCCGGGGAACCTACAAGCTGTAAGAGCTAAGGAGCTCCCAGGAAAATGTGTCGTTAGTAACTAAGATTTACAGATGGCAACAAACAGTAGTAAGATGTGAATGCACAAAGAAGAGAAGGAGAGATAGGAGCTCAAGGTGCCCGTTCCATCTGTAGTCTAAGCCTACAGCAGCATAGCTAGGAGTTAACTTGTAAGATTTATCAAAAAGGAATGTTTTAAGCTTACTCTTAAAAGTACAGTGTGTCTGCCTCCTGGACCCTGACTGGTAGATGATTCCAAAGGAGAGGAGCCTGATAACTGAGGGCTTTACCTCCCATAGTACGGTATTGGAAGTATCGGAAGTTAGACTGTAGCCACTAGCAGGCATTCTGGGAGCCTAATGTTCTCGAAGGGTAGTACGGCACTAGTAGCTCCTTAAGATAAGATGGTGCCTGGCCATTAAGAGCTTTCTTAGTGAGAAGAAGGATCTTGAATTCTATTCTAGCTTTTATAGGGAGCCAGTGCAGAGAAGCCAACACAGGAGTGATGTGGTCCCTTTGCCTAGTTCTCGTCAGTACACGAGCTGCAGCGTTCTGGACTAGTTGAAGAGTCTTTAGAGACTTACCAGAGCACCCTGACAAAAGAAAATTACAATAATCCAACCTGGAGGTAACAAATGCATGAACTAGTTTTTCTGCATCATTTTGCAACAGGATATTCCTGATCTTAGATATATTACGAAGGTGAAAATAGGCTGTCCTTGAAATTTGAGGTTAAAGGACATATCTTGATCAAATGGAACTCCTAGATTCCTAACAGTGGTGCTAGATGCCACGCTGATGTCATTAAGGACAGTCATATCAATAGAAAAAGTCTCTCTGAGGTTTTTAGGGCCAAGCACAATAACTTAAGTCTTTTCTGATTTAAGTAGCAAAACATTTCTGGTCATCCAGGTCCTAAAGTCCTTAAGGCGTGCTTTCATTTTACATAACTGATTGGTGTCATCAGGCTTCATTGATACGTACGTATAGCTTGGATGTAAGTCCATAGTGTTTTGAAATACTTAAATTTATTCCATACATTTCTAGATTCTTCACATATGATGTTTTCATAGTCACATCTCATAATGAGTTGACAAAGACTGGGCAATAAGAGGGCACAAATGTAAAAAAATAAAGAAGCTAGGCATAACAATTTCTCATCCTCTACTCAGAGCTCTCACTTGCCTTCATTTCCAGTCATATATTAATAGATACATTAATTAATCCTCTAAATTAGGCCTACATTTTATTCTATGCTAAAACAACTGGGAACCCTGGGCATGTGGTAGGAAACGTGATGGTGTAATCATGTTTTTTCCACTACCACTACATTAATTATACTATTTTGACAATACTACTAGCTATTATTAGGAAATACAATTTTTAAGTAAACGCGGCTTCTCCTACGTCCTCCTGTTAGCTGCAGCGTTAGCTGCTGCGTAACGCTCGGTTCTAGCCCCCCTCAATAAAAATTTGTCAGTTTGACGTCTTGTCAGTGTGATATCACTGATCTAAGCCCATTGGCTCGTTGTGGCAAGCCCAGCAGCTCATGTTGCAGGCCCATTAACTTCTGTAGCATGCCCACGATATGCCGTAGTCTGCGGTAGCACGGTAGTGCTAAGGTGCTAATATTTATACTACCCTCGGACGGAGCCAGTGGCTGCATTCCCAATATGGTAAAGGGGGCCGGACATTTCCAAGAACCGTGCTGAGCGACTGACCAATTACGGCAGAGCCGACAGGCCGACCAATCAGATCAGACTTGGCACACGTGGGGACTCTGAACGTGGGCACTTCAGAGCCTTAGAGAGAGTCAGAAGCGAGCCGGTGCATGGAGCGGCAGTACATGAAAACAGACACTTTTTTAGAACTTTAGCTATTGTGAACATACTTTAGTAGGTACATAGATTAAATATATGAACCCCAAAAAGGGCATAATATGGGCTCTTCAAAACAAATGACTCACTCCCAAAGTGGTTTGGCACAGTGCTGTGCACCTTCACTGGTCTCACAATTCAATTCGATTACAATTATTATTATCCAGTCAACAACTTAATTTCGATTTGATATAACGATGCATCTCGATTCATCGTCAGTTTTCTGCAATACTGCACATGGCTACTATTTCATAAACAAAGACGAGCAGTCATACATATATTACTCCTTTTTATCATTTAGAACAAGCTTTAGACATCAATATCAATGTCTACATAGTAAGCCAAAATGGATACATTATATAGATTATAAGTATAAGTTTCTGTGTGTTTGGGTGGCTGTGGCTCCGCTGGTAGAGTCGTCGCATCTCAACCGGAAGGTCGAGGGTTTGATCCCTAGCTGGGCAACATGTCTGATGTGTCCTTGGGCAAGACACTTAACACAAAGCTCCCGCAGCTTCGGTGGTGGTGTATGAATGGGATTAGTTACTTCTGATGGATGATACTACATAGCGATCACTACCATCAGGGTGTGAAAGGGTGGGTGTGACCTGCAGTGTAAAAGCGCTTTGAGTAGTTGGAAGACTATCAAGTCCATTTACAAAACTGAAGGTTTTTGCGGCCATCTAGGTGGCGCTCGCAGCCCACACCCCATGCTCAAGTATCACTGCATTATAAAGATGGATAAATCCTTTATTATGCGCTTATTAACAGTTAATAAAGCTCCTTCGCAGCTACTGGATCTAAAGTGGGAACAGTGTCTTATAAAGATGAATAAATCCTTTGTTATGCACTTATTAACAGTTCAGTGTGGACAGGGTCCAGATGAGTAAATATTTAAAATAAATCATTGATAAAAGAGGGATGTGGAGTTTTTCATATTTCACAACTTTCAAGTAAACAGAATCAAAAAGGATGTCTATTTCACCTTCAAATCAAACAGTTTTTGGAAAAAACAAATGCTATTACAAATAACTTTATTTGTAATAGGGTTAGGTTTCTTTAACATTAACTGTAAACAACATTATGAAAACATTTGGTGTGTCATAGCTACCACCATATCGAGAAAAAGCATAGTTGTATGTAACCCTTGTTACTGTAAATAGCTGTAAATAGCGTGTTAAGAGTAGACCAACATCAGAAGACTAGAACATCTGGAGCCCAAGATCTGAATACCAGGAAAGAGGCACACACAGGAATACATTTGCAAACTTTGTATGTAAGGAACACAAATATTGCCATGGTCAATATTACAATAATATAATTTACCCAATGAAAATAACAACTCAAGTAAAAAAGTGTGCCAAGAAACAAAAAAAACCTTTGCAGTGTCTTAAGTCCAGTCTTTTTCGTCAAGACCCAATCCAGATGTGTGTTTCTTTTTAATCTGTGCTTCTGCACTATGAAGTAGTGAAGGAAGTTCATCCTGCACTTATTGAGCACTTCAAGTCTGTCTTTACACGTCATGGAATAACAAAGTGGTACGCTCGGACAACGGACCACAATTTGCCTGTGTCAAAGTTTGCACAAGAGTGGTTTTTCAGCCATGTCACACCCAGCCCACAAAAAAACCCATAGAGACACGGGAAAGCTGAGTGGGCTTTAACAACTATGTAAAATCTCCACAAAAAACCCCACAATCCCTACTTGGCCCTCATGACATACCGCTCTGCTCCTCTGGCTAATTGATACAATTCCACTTAACTTGTAATGGAAGGAAAATCAGAACCCCCTTCCATTCATTAATTTCCCAGGACATCCAGACATAGTAAATGTAAACAGAGCTTAACAGAAATGCACACAAAAACAGAAGCAGAACTTGGATCAAAGACACAGAAAAACACGTAGCACCTGCAAACTGGCAATCATTTGTCGGTTAAAGTTGTGCTGGTGAGAGGCACAGTAGTATTTACAACAGAATAATACCCACACTAAGTTGGAGGGTTTGGATAATCTACTCCATGCAGTAATGGTTTATCTCTGAAAATATATTGTTTTGTTATACCTGTATGGTAATGTATTTATAAGAGCAAATTTCTTTGACTGCGTAAATTTTTTGGTTTGGGCAAAAGGACTGTAAAGCCATACTGTAAGTGTTGTTACAGATAATTCATCTACATTACATGTTGTTGTTTATCTGTTTTAGGGTTGTAGTATTAGGTTGATACATGTGTGGAAACCTTTGACATGTGTACTGTGTTGCCTTTTTGTTTTTGTGTTGAATCTTGAAGATTGATAAAAGCTAAATATTTGTTTAATCTCTTACCTTTCAGACTGAACAGATTCTCAGTGAATACAAGATTCGAGCCTTGGCATGTCATCCAGACAAAAACCTGCAAAACCCAGGAGCAGGTAAATTTACTGTGTATTTTGTGGATGATTTTTTAAAATACAAATAAAAAGGAAAGTTTGAAGACAAAAATGGTTTATTGAACAGCTATTCTGTTCCCTAAAAAAAGGAAAGCTTACTGGCTTCAAGAGGAAGTTGGAGGCTGAACAAGATGAATGCCAAATAGCAGCAGGAGAGCTTTCAAAAAGCAAATTTACAATTATAGTCAAAGTTCTCTGTTGTTCCAATAATTTCATTATTGTGTTTGTATTTGTGATGAGCAGTTAGAAGAAAAAATAAATGGGAAGGGTATGACCAGAGTGATCAAAAAGTTAAGTTGTAAACTATTAATCGGTTAAGACGTTAACTTCAATAGCGGTTCATAAATGTATTGCGTTAACGATTAACTAGTTCTGCTGTTACAGTTTAAAGCAGTGATTCTGAACCTCAGGGTTTCGACCAAGATCATTTCTGGGGGTTGCCAGAAGGTTTTGGAGCTGTTTGATAGTGCTGTTAGGAGGATGTATAGGCTGTGTGCTAGGCTGGCTGGTATTGATAATTGCCATGTCATGATTTACTCATGTTTAGTTTGTTTTTTTCATTGTTGTTGTGCTCTCCTGTTTTATTTTGCCAATAGCATCTTTGTGTTTCTCTGTTACCTTTTGTAGTTTTCTACAAAAGGTAACAGATGGTAACCCGTGTGTAATGTCTATAGTGTTTCTCACTGCCTCCGTGTGTTTCCCTACAGTTTTGATTGCCCTCATTTCCTCACCTGTGTCTTGTTGGTCTCACCTGTGTTTGATTACCCTGTCTATTTTGTCTTGTGTTCATTGTCCGATTTTCTTTGTGGTCATACTCTACCTACCTGTGTCTCTGTGCTTCGTGTAACCTGCCTCTTTCCAGTGTTCTATTTGTTTTGCCTTTTGTGGATTTTGTTTGGACTTTTAAAAATGTAAGCTTTCGTTTTTGCCTGTTGGGCTTTTTTTGTAAAATAAATATTTTTTTGTTTCTGCACTTGGGTCCTCTTCTGTGTTTTTTCAACGAATATGACAGAATGAACTGACTTGGTTTCTAAAATTAACTACATTCAGGACAATTTTTTAAAGTCTTCCTTGAGTGTGAACGATAATGGAGGATTTAAGCAATCACCTTGGACTAGTACACGACTGGCCAATTTTCCTGGTAGTTGTGGAGGCCAGAGATTGGCCACCATTGCTCCCGGCTCCATTTTCTGCCTTCACTTCATGGTCCAGTGCCCCAGAGTCTTGGCTACCTAGAGCCATCGCTGCCCAGTGCTCCAGAGAGAGAACCAGCCTCCAGGCTTCAAAGAGCCTTGACGGCGGTGTCCTGTCGATGCCTGGTCCCCCCCTTGAAGCTCCAGAATGCATGTGTTCTCGTTGAATGCTCTGCCCAGTCCTTTTTCCTCATGGGAGATGACATCTTGTCTACTCCTGTGTCTCCGAGGGAAGTCCTGCAAACTCCTGTGTCTTTGGCGGAGGCACTTATTTCCCTGTTTTCGCCATATCTATCATTTAAAATTGATGTATAATTAATTATGACGATACTTAAAACAGACGCTAGATGGCACCATGAGACTGTGTAGTAGGAAAGTGAAGTTTCCCTTCCAATTTTTTCTATCAGTAAACACACCGTCTGAACAGATTGAATGAGACAGTCCAGCTGTGTGCTGAACATTTAAGGAGCACTGTAAACATTTTGTTAGTGAGTACTAAATCTTATATTCCTGGATTGTTGATGTTTTTTTTTTTTTGGACGTCGATGTTTTGATTTGGATTTATCATTGAATCTCCGGTGAGCTACGTTCTGAATAGTAGCATTTAAGCTAGCGATTAGCCACGTGTTAGCCATAACGTCGTTATACTTTGAGACCACAGTATTATTTTTATGTTGTGTATTTGATTTGTGAATATCATAAACCAATCGCTGATATTTATGTCAACATTTGGAAGTGGTTTTCTATGTTTAATTTTAGTTTTGTCATGAGTAGTAAACTTGAACGGTCTTTGAAAATGACATTGTTAAATGCAATTTTGTTTCTCCCTAGTGTAGTAACGAGGCAGATTTGTTATAAAAGAGAAATGGGTTTTACTGTGTTCGCATTTTTCGAAATTGCATTTGTCTCCGTCCCGCGGTGCAATACAACCAAAATAAGGTAAAAAAGAGATAAGGTAAAATAGATAAAATAAAATGAGGTATAAATAAGATAAATAATATTTACAGTAATAAATTCTAAATTGTGCAAAAGGTACAAAATGGTAAATAAAATAAAATAAAATTTAAAGAAAAAGTAAACTTGCGCAATATGTGCAATGTGCAGTAAACTGAGTGTACTTTTGAATAGTTAGCTTCAGAGTTATTAGTTATTAGTTCTTGGTGGCAAAAGGGAGGGGGGTTTCAACGTCCAGTGTTTGTGGGGGTAGAGGGGAGGGAAGGAAGAGAGGGGAGAGAGTTAAGCTTCCTGACAGCTTGGTGGAAGAAGCTCTTTCCCAGTCTGGTGGAGCTTGCCCGCAGGCTGCGGTACTGTCTCCCCGATGGCAGGAGGCTGAAGAGGCTGTGTGAGGGGTGGGTGGGGTCACGCACAATGCTGGTTGCTATTTATTTTTGAGGCGGGTACCGTAGAGGTCCAGAAGAGAGGGGAGTGGGACACCGATAATCCGTTCAGCAGCCTTCACTGTGCGCTGCAGGGTCTTGCGGTTGGCAGCAGTGCAGCTCCCAAGCCACACAGTGATGCAGCTGGTCAGGATGCTCTCGATGGTGCCTCTGTAGAAGGAGCACATGATGGATGGGGGGGGCTCGTGCTCTCTTCAGCTTGCGGAGGAAGTAGAGGCGCTGCTGGGACTTCTTGGCCAGTGATGTGGTGTTGGTTGTCCAGGAGAGATCCTCACTGATGTGAACCCCCAGGAACTTGGTGCTGCTCACTCTCTCCACAGCAGCACCGTTGATGGTCAGTGGGGGTTTAGGAGTGGGGACTCTCCGGAAGTCGACAACAACCTCCTTGGTCTTGTCGACGTTCAGGAAGAGGTTGTTGTCTCTGCACCATGTGGCCAGTTGGCTGACCTCCATCCTGTAGTGCGTCTCATTGTTGTTGGAGATGAGACCAACCACTGTTGTGTCGTCCGCAAACTTCACAATGTGGTTGCTGCTGAAGGATGGAGCGCAGTCGTGGGTCAGCAGCATGAAGAGCAGGGGGCTGAGCACACAACTTTGGGGGGCCCCCGTGCTCATGACGGTGGTTTTTGATGTGCTGCCGCCGACCCGCACTGTCTGAGGCCTCTCACTGAGGAAGTCCAGCAGCCAGTTGCACAGGGAAGTGCTGAGCCCCAGCTGGTCCAGTTTGCCGATCAGCGGGATGATGGTGTTGAATACTGAACTGAAGTCTATGAACAGCATTCTGACGTATGAGTTTTTGGTGTCCAGGTGGGTGAGGGCTGGGTGAATAGCAGAACAGATGGCATTCTCAGTGGATCTGTTACCTCGGTATGCAAACTGGTAGGGTCCAGGGTGGCGGGGAGGGTGGATTTGATGTGGGCCATGACTAACCTTTCAAAGCACGTCATGGCGATGGGGGTCAGTGCAACGGGTCGATAGTCATTGAAAGTGGATGGTGAGGGCTTCTTTGGAACGGGTATGATGGTGGTGGCTTTGAAGCACGACGAAACAACAGCCTGACTCAGAGAAGCGTTGAAAATGTCTGTGAAGACATCTTTGAGCTCCTCTGCACAGTCCTTCAGCACACGGCCAGGAATGTTGTCTGGACCTGCAGCCTTGTGGGCACAGGGCACAGAGTCAAGCACAGGGTCTGGTCGTGGGGGGGGGGTGGTTTTCAAAACTGGCAAAGAAGCTGTTGAGGTCGTTCAGCAGAGAGGTGTTGCTGTCACAGGTCTGTGGCTTGGGTTTGTAGTCCGTGATGGTCTGGATACCACACCACAGGCTCTGCGTGTCTCTGCTGTCCTTGAAGTGTCCGGTTATTTTTAGTGTGTAGCTGCGTTTGGCTTCCCTGATGCCACGGGACAGGTTGGCCCTCGCTGTTCTCAGGCAGGCTGCGTCCCCAGCTCTGAAGGCGGTGTTCCTGGCCCTCAGTAGCCCGCGTACCTCTCCTGTCAGCCATGGCTTCTGGTTAGCCCGGGTGGTGATGGTTCTGGTGGTGGTGACATTAGCAATGCATTTGCTCATGTAGGAGGTCACAGTGTCAGAATACTCCTCAATGTCTGTGTGGTTGTTGTAGGTGGCTGCCTGCTTAAACATCTTCCAGTCTTTGATATCAAAGCAGTCTTGTAGTGCAGCAGAGGCCCCCTCTGGCCACACACATACCTGCTTCAAAACTGGTTTGGTGACTTTAACCCTGGGTCTGTAAACTGGCATTAGCATTACACTGATATGGCCAGAGTGGCCGATGTGGGGGAGGGGTGAAGCTTTGTAAGCACCTTTAATTGATGTGTAAATCATGTCCAGAATGTTACCTTCTCTTGTGGGACAGGTCACGTGTTGGTGGAAGTGGGGTAAAACCGTTCTGAGATTTGCATGGTTAAAATCCCCAGCGATGATGAAAAATCCATCTGGGTGGGCTGTCTGTTGCTCACTGATGGCGTTGTAAAGTTACCAAAGTGCGTCGATTCTATCAGCGTTGTTGGTGGTGGGGGGAATATACACAGCGACCAGCAAAGTCGCTGTTATCTCTCTCGGTTGATAGAAAGGACGGCACTTTACAATCATAAACTCCGCCAGCGGTGAACAGTGTTTACATACCACAGCAGCATCTTGACACCAAGCATCACTGATGTAAACACAGACTCCACCACCTTTCTTCTTTCCTCCTTTAATAAGGATTCTGTCCGAACGGTAGCATGTGAATTGTTCAAGCTGAACGGCGGAGTCTGGGATGCGTTCGTTCAGCCATGTCTCTGTGAAAATGTACGCACAGCTGTCCCTCACGTCGCGGCTGCGCAGCTCTCAGTAGCTCTATATGGTCCATTTTATTGTCCAGAGATCTTACATTTGCCAG